TTTGCAGTGTGGAATACAGTTAGCTTTTTATATTAGAGAAACTTGACGTTAAAGGGCTTGCTCTTTACTGCTTAATTTGCAGAACTTGGTAATTGATAGTGTGTCTTGCCATCTGTAGGAAAAATAGTTTAATTTCCACAAAATATGTATGTATCTCTATAAAAAAACATACAGAAATTAATCTTTTAGTCTAGACTACATAGTTGAAGTAATTTTTAGTTAAAGTTTATTGCCTAGTGTACCATATGTAGTTGAATAAACCCATATTTTTAGCATTCTTTTGTGTAACTGCATTTGATTAAAATGTTATGTTTGCTTAATTGGCTTCAGAGACTTGCATTTCAGTATTTTCAAAATGTCTGCAAAAGTTTACTCTGGCTGCTAAATGGAAGATAAAAATACTTTTTAAATGTTTTTCACATTCCTTGTAGTCACTAGTGTAATTAAAATTGCTTTAATTAGAATGTATTTACAAACATTGCTTTTTTTTTTTACAGTAAAACTTGATACCTTTTAAAAGAAGTTAAAATATTATTTCTGCATAAACGTATGTGGAGTAGAAAGCATATTGCTTAGAATGGTTGTTAATGTAAAGTCTGTGGTCTACATTGTAAGACAATGTGCAAGTGAGGATTCTGTGTATTGAGAATCTAGGTTTTGTGAAGACATCTGGCTCAACTGGTAGAGACATTGTTATATTTTATGCTTCAGTTGCAATTTAGAAAGAAATAAAACAGTCATATCTAAAATCAAGATAGTATTTTTTATTTCTATGGGCAGTTTTGAAATTTTTCTCAACAAGTAATTAATGAAAGAAGACAGACATCTTGACAAATACTTTTTTTTTTTTATTCTTTGCATAGACAAAAGAAGTTGGTTTACTTGATGCAGATATATATGGACCTTCAATTCCAAAGATGATGAACTTGAAAGGAAACCCAGAATTAACACCAAGTAAGTGGAAGTGATTTTTTCTTGCTGTTGTCTTTGTACAGGGATTGGCACGGACCACTCACTGGTGCTTTTTTGGTGTGTCATAGAAGGCAAGCAAGCAGAATATGATGATTTAGTGTGTTTTGTTGGGTTTTTTTTTTAATTTTCAGTAATGAGATTGCTCTCAAAGGTAGCTTGTACAACTAGGAGCATATTCAGGTTTTTTATGGTCTTTTTTTATGTTGATCCAAAGCCTGTGGACATTTCATGGGTTATTACTAGAGATCCTGGAAAGGGTAGCTAGGAAAATAAGGTTATTGTTGGTAGTTCTAAACTTGCTGTACAGAATCTCACTACAGAAGACCTCCAAATGAAAAACCCAAAAACATTAGTGTTTTGCTAGTTGACAGAGTTAGTAAAAGGGACACAGGCACCAACTTGAAAATGAAAACATTTTACTTTAGTTTAAAGTGGGAAAAGAAAGGCATAAGCAGGGTAAAAAGATAAACAGGGTAATGCACCTAATCATTGCTACATAAGAGAAAGCAGCGTGGTGATTAAGAAGGATACATCACCAGTTGCCATACTTGACCATCATCCAGACCTGTACATCAGCTGGGGAGCCCAAATCACAGCAAAGGATCCGGAGAACCTTTCCCAGCAATTGGGAAGTCCTATGCAGTGTGTCCACTCGTAGATGATGTCTCCATCTTTGCTGGGAGAGGGTCCTGCTTTTAGACACTTTAACAAACAATTTACGTGAAGAGAAAGTACAGCAACATCTGTCGGGCTGGCTTCACCTCGCTCAGGTGCATCTCGGACCCGCCCAGTATCCGAGATGAGTCTGGGAAGTTACTGTTTTGGTCGCTTTCTTCTATTGGCTTCTCCCCAAAGCCTGGCCAGGGCCCAAGGAGGAGTCAAGGAAGTTTTTATCGACCCAACTTTGACCACCTGCTTCTGAGCAAGGCAGGATACCTAGCCTCACAGCCTCATCGGTGTATCATTCTCCCTTGGAGCTCCAACCAAGGCCTGGCCAGGGCCCAGGGAGGGGTCCAGGGGAGTTCCTTTATTTTCCCAGCTGTGAACACATACTCCTAAACAAGGCTGGACACCTGGTTTCTCAGCCTTCACGACATACCTTGGAACAGAATAAGATAAATATATTCTCATGGTTGTTCTATACATTCTGCAAGGATGAAGAATGAAACAGTGCCAATATCTTTAAAGGGTGGCTATTGAGCTTGCCCTGTTAGCCTCTGAAAAATTAGTGAGTGACAAATGTAGGATTTCTTATATAATTAAAATTCTCTCTCCTTATGCTTATACTCTGTACTCTGGATAAAGAAAAAGTAATGTATTTCCATATACAGATGTACTGTATGTGCTTATACTGGCAACTGTCAAACTGAATACTTTCTACATTTAAGTACCTGGCTTACAAATACAGACTTTATTTAGATTAATTTCTAGGAGAGAAGGAGAATACTTGGTTTTATTTGTTATGTTTCCGTTTTATTTTTTGAAGTCAAAGGCTAATTCTGTTGCATAATAAATAAATAACTGAACCTTCTCATGTATCATCAGTAAGGTTTGACTTCCTGATACAAATTGAAGTGTTCTGGCATTTTCTTGTGCTTTGGACGCCATTGGGGGTATATGTCATACAGGCTGTGTTTTACCCTGACAGATTTTTTTGCTATTAATTTTGCATTTGAAATGCTTTATGCATTATGAAAACAAAATGGCCTGTGTCGTGGTGTTCTTCCTATCTGTCCTCTTTTCCTTTTTGTGTGAGGTTGACTTTTTCCTTTCCAGTGGAGATCAGGTAAAAATTAGATTTTTATTTTTATTTTTTTTTCTTCTCACTACCTGAAAAATTGATTAGATAACTTTGAAATTCTTACACATTTTGCTAGGTATTTTATCAATCCATACCACATGTAAGTCCATATTATGAGCTATGAATAAGAAGCAAATTGCCTAGTCTCTTTCTTATGGTCATACAAATTAGCTTGCTAGGAATGCAAGAACGTAAGAGTATATTGAGTCAGATATTAGGGCAGCTCAATTTTGTTGGTATGTAAATTTCAGTGACTGTAGATGTTTTGGGTCTACAGCTGAGAATTCACTATAAGCTTTTGCCTTAACATGTTTTGAGTGTTCTTAAAAATACAGAATTCAATGTGATAGAAAGAAATTGGAGGATTTTCCTGAATTTAAATTGCAGTTGTTGACTCTTAAGTACTAACATTTTGATTACTAAAATGTATTCTTTCTACTTCTGTGTGGAATGTACAAGCAAATATTATCAGGATTTAAGGACATACCGTATTTTTTAACTGACAGAAAATGAATTTGTGTATTTCGAAAGCTTGGCACATTACACAAGACTACTGAGAAACTTGTATAGTAATTCAGTATGAATGATAACAGGATAGAATTTGTATTTCAGGAATTCTGTTCACTTTGTACACTTTTAAGTCTTGTGTTGATGAAGCTGTAGATTAACAACAAAGTGCTGGCAAAGCAGCTGACATAAAGATGATCTGGTTGTGAAAACAGGAATTTAGAAGGCTTCAGAAGCTTTAATTGTGAATTTCAAGGGGTTTTTTTAAAGAGTGACAGATAGGATAAGCTTGCAAGGGAGTGATCCATCATAGCTGTGTGTATATATATGGTGTGATATGTACATGTATAGATGTAAAAATATGTATGACACTTGTATTTTGGTATAATGAGCTTGAGTGTTATTTTCCAATTTCTTACTATATTTTCCAGAATAAAACATAATGTATGAACAGATATTTTGTACAGTAATTGAGCAAACCCAGGCAGTTCTGTGTTAAAGATGTACATTGACAATGTATACATAACAGTCAGTAAGTCAATTTAAAACATTTTTTTTAATAGCATAGCAATAAAAAAATGTTTAAAGTCTATTTCTGTCCTGCATTTGAATATGATGAGTGACATTGTCCTTTGCTACTGAATCTGTAGAGTAATCCTGGGTGGTTCTGAGCACTCTTGCATTGTTTGATTTCCATTTCTTTTCTCACATGTAGCAGTTGAAAAGGGATCAGAGATGCCTGGTACCATACAGAATAAATCTGTGCAGCAATTGTTACTTCTGAATAGAAATTATTATAGTTATACTATAATTTAAGTTTTCAAAACTAATTAGGAGTTCTTAGTGAGGAGAGAGTCTGTATAAAAGGAAGATACTCCACTAATTTAATTCTGCAAACTGTAGTACATTGGAAAGTCCGATAACATTTAATAGAGTGTCATTCAAAATATTTTAACAAAGTGATCAGGGAAATATTGGTTAATAAGTTCACAGCTGAATCTAATTAGCTAATGGAGGATTATCTAACTATGGAATAAATATTAACATCAGCTACAGGGAAACGGTTATAACGCAAGTAATAAAAGCATTACTTCCATTCTTTCCCCAAATGATTTACTTAAAAGCAGTTTCCTGGCTTAGTGAACTGCAGAATTTAATTTTATTCCTTTTTAAAAAAATCTACCATTTAAACTGTTGGCAGAGGGTAAAAGCTATCATATTGCCAAAAAGATACTGCTATTTTGCCAGAGAATTATAACATTTCTTCACTTAAATTATTATGAAGGGTTTGGTGGGTTTTTTCCTTCATGACAGTTGAGTGTGCTTTTAATGCTTCAAAGCTTTGTAGCCATTTTATGATGTCCTTGGTGTCTTTTTTTATTCCTTAATAAAATAGTATAATCTAAAGATCAGTAGTGGGCGTCTGTTTTCAAAATTTGGAATAAAAAGTGATTTCCGAGAGAAAACTAGCAACAGTTGTGTCTGACCCCATTGAGTCTAGTAATATTGCAGGAGCTAGATAAATGAAATTACTGGTAAAATTCTAAAGTCAGAAATGGAGACTTGCATTTTTTTTTCACTGGGACACATTTACATGTCTGCTATTCTCAGTCTGATTGCAAACTCTTGTAACAGAAACTGATAATTTAAAGTATAATCTGTTGTGACTGTTTAAAGATATTTGCTGGGAATAGCTGTATCAAGGGATTGTGGTGCCTCTGTTTGTGGGTTATAAATAGAAAATTTGGAGTGGACTAGTTAAATAGAGAAAATATTACATAGATAGGGTAGTTACTGAGGTGACCATGAGGAATTTTCTTGATCATACATAAAGGTTTAATTTTAAAGATACAGCCTGTATTCTCAAAGTTGCCTTTTTCATGCTTTACTGATGGAACTGCATCACAATTTTAAATATGAAATAAATTTGATTCTTTCAAAAAAGTCATAGTTTGCTACTGCCATTACATATTGATTTATGAACAAATGGTTTTTAGATTGTGCATAATCCAGTGTTATGCTTTACTGATCCTGTTTTGAAAGACGTCTGAACTGAAGCCCCATGTTTTCTTTTTAGTGATGTCTTATCCCAGTTTATCTGGATGCCTGGAGTAGTCCCATGTGTCTTACATGTAACAAAATAATAATTCAGAATACTGTGATTAGCTGTGGTGTATATTTTGGAGGCTTTTTCATATGTGGTGAGGTAGTTGAAAATGAGAAGAATGCTCAAGTGTTCTGGACCTTGACTATTGCCCTCAAGTCTGTAACAATTTACCTCAAACTGGATTAAATCAGCCATTTTTGAGTTCAGTTGTGGAAAAAATTGATGACCTTTACTTGGAGGGGAAAAAAGATGAAGGATACCCAACTCTGCAAGGAATTATTTATAGGCATGCAGTTGTTAGCTGCTGTTTAAAAAATAAAAAACCTCTAGACAGTTAATTTATTAAAATTTTATTCTCATTATAGATAAATTCATACTTACAAAAAAAAAGGTAAAAAAGTATAAGATGAGAAATGTAGTGTAGTAATTAAAGATTTTTACTAATCAAATTTTACTAAATGCCATTGCAATATAAATTACTGAAACTAGAAAAAATACATTTCAAGTACTTGAAAGAGGAAGTGTATTACTTTTCATGTTGTGAGTCTTGCAGTGCAGTAATTATAA